CCCCCCCCCGCAAAAAAAATATCTCTATCCTGGCCATGTGATTAAGTCCCCAAGCCATCCAAGCTACTGACCCATTTGGTGCTGCAGCCTCCAAAGCCAATAATCATTCTCAGCTTCAGGATGGGATCCGGCAAGAGCCTCTGGAAAACAAACAAACAAACCAACCCAAAACCACAGCACCATCACACTTTGAGCCGGACTGAGGTTCTCTGCCCACAGGGCCCCTCCGTCCCCACTGCCAGGGTCTCTCTAAAGGACAGAGGCAGCTTTGGGGTCTCCTGATAGAGGGGATAGCTTGAAAGTATTGAACCTGGCAGAAGTCGAATCTGGCAGGAAGGAGGAGCTAGGATTTCCCAGCATTAAGCAGCTCTCCCACCCAGGCTGGGGGGTTAGAGCCAGCCCTTCCCAGCGCCCTGACGATGCCCAGAGCTGGTGGCTGCTGCCAGAAGGGCTGTTCTCTCACCCTGCAGGCGGAGGGTCTCCTGCCGGACAGCATGCCTGGTCCAGGGCCCCTCCTGTCCATGCTCTGGGCAAATTAGGAAACACATTATTGGCTTAAGGTCAGTGCATTTAAACACAGGGTCCCTCTTTCAAGGCAAGTGAGATACCAGTGAAAAGGAGAACTGCTAGTCAGAATAAATAATGGCAACAAAAGGACTCCATAGATTAACTGGAACTCCAGCCTGAAGCTTGTGTTCCCTCTGCAGCTTCTGCCAGGCTCACAAGCATCAGCTGTAAGGGTCCCAAAGCCACCCTTGGGCTGCTGTGACTCCTCAGCACTTCACCCACCTCCTCTGAGCCGGTGTGGAGGGCTCGGCTGGTTCGTTTGCTCCTCTGGTGAGCGTACACGTGGATGCCACCATCCCTGACTGCCGGCGACTGCCCCATGACCCCCACACTCTGCAGTCTCTGGTTCTGCTCTAGCTCCTGAACCCCAGCAGGCACGGCTCTCGGAGGCCCTGGGGCTGTCAGGAGAACCTCAGGGATGTTTTTTGTAATTACAGGACACCGGCGTGGCATCTGCAAAAGACCGAAGCCGCAGACAGAGGTCAGCCCTCCACCTCTGCAAAGGCAGAGACGGGGAGACACCCGCATCTCTCCCGAGTGACTTCACGGCGATACAAACAAGGATGAAGCAACATGGAGGGAGAGCATCCCTGTGGGGACTTAACTGGGCCAGAGACGTTAACCAGCCACTCTCCCAGCGTTGTCCGTGCACAGTTCACCTCCTCCAGACAGCAAAGCAGAGCCTCAGGAAAGATCCAGCCCTGAATTGTCTCTGGAAGAGCTGCCCTCTCTCCACCGAGGCTAAAAGCGCCTGGCCAGCCAATCCCAGTTCAGAACAGCAGCACGGTCCCACTCCTCATTTTCTCCCTCTCCACAGCGTGAGAGGATGGCTCCCCCCAGTCCCTCTCCAAAAGCCCAGCTGACTTGCAAGCCAGTCTGAGCACCAGCTCCCACATCACCACCAGCAGGGAAGGGGTAATCAGCAGTGAGGTCAGCTGCCTGCAAGCTGGACTCCACACGCTGCTCCACTCCCCGAGGGCACCCAATCAGGCTCTTTAGTCTTCAGTCCTCATTACCTATCTAGAATTTGAAGATACAACTATTTGCTGCCTCAGCTCAGACAGGGAGGATAGATGTCTGGAGATTATGAGGTACTTGGCCTTTATCTTGTCTCTGCTCTGTGCTGCGCCAGACTGAACCACCCAGTCATTAACTGCAGGGCTGCGGTCAACAGACCGTGCCCGGAGCAGGGGTCTGACCTGCCCGGCTCAGCTGCGAAAGACAACCACCACCTTCTACGTCCTAAATAAAGGAACTCAAAGACAAGACATGGGAGAAAAAGCTCCACAGGAAGCAGAAAGGAAGAAGGTGCAGCCTCCTCCACAGTGCACTTACAGCTTTGGGACTGGTTATCTGATGGACGAGGGACAGTCTGTCACGGACCGCTTTGGTGAGCGTCACCGGCTGGGGCAGCTGGCAGACAGGGTCCTCTGAGACTTGGCCACCTGGGTGACACGAGGAGCGGGTTGAGCTCTTTGAGAAACCCAAGGCATCCACCAGGGTGGCACAGCCTGGGCTGCTGTCCCCAACCTTCCCACCTGCCACAGGACCAGGACAGCTCTTCTGGATGGAGTCGTACGGCACCTTGGACCCCTCAGGTGGGAACCTGGGCAAAATCAGAGGAAGGCACCGTGTAATCGGGATATTGCACTGGCACCCAGGAATCCCACTCGGTAACTCACTGCCTGACACAAAAGTCAGTCTCCTAGAAGATTCCCCCTTTTCCCCCATCATCCCCCAAATACAGGGACACTAAAGCATCTCCCAGGTCTGGTCTACAGCGCTCCTTTCCAGCGGTTAACGCTGCTACGCCAATGACCGCGATGAGCTGCAATTCAAGGCCAACATGGTTCTCTGGCAAAAACCTCACCCCCGACAGGAGCCCAGCACCGAAGCTGCGGAAGATGTGCCTACACCTGCCCCGCCACGAGGCGTTAGAGCTGATGGCAGCTCAGCAGCCCCCATCAGACTACCCGTGAACTTAACAAGAGGGCACGGGGAGGTCTCAGGGCTGCGGCTGTACCTGATGTAGTCATAGAGGTCGTGCCACTTCTCTCCCTTCGGCACAGGGAAAGCCATTTCCCGCGGCATGGGAGCAACCCCACGGCAGGCGAGGTCGGCTTGCCGGGCCTCGGAGAAGGTCACACCTGGCAGCGCAGCACAGAGACAAAGATAAAGAGAGTAAGTGCTCCAAGGAGCTGTCTGGAATCACGTGTCCTGTGGGACACAGGCACAAACCATTTCCCTCTTTGAGAACACCTGAAAAACAAAGGTTACAACCCCACGGTCCGTAACAAACTAACACACCTTTGCACAGGAATATTCCTGAAACTCTCAACCCCCCAAAAAGACCCTGGAGCATAAACCCTTGGCAGCGAGTTATAAACCCCCCAGGCCCAAGATTCGCCTAGTTTTCTACTGGGTGATTCAGCCGTTTTCATGTGATTTGTGTTAAGGCTCTTCTCTCATTTTCCTGTCTTCTTTCCTTCAGGTGTTTGTAACTTCATGAAAGCCTTCACGATAGAAGAAGTTTTAGGAATCCAAAAGCAGCATCTATCACTTTCTCCTCACTGATGCTTTCCAGCAGGCCAGTCAGTTCAGGCAGATTTCCAGCACAAAAATAAAATAAAGGCAGAAGCAAAGGTTTTGACCAAAGTACCTCTGCCACACTGAGCAGGTGGGTAAAAAAAGTAGGTTTGAAGATTTCTGAGATGAAAAACCCCACAGGCTCTTCCGGCAGATGAAAGCAGAGGCCATGGAGAAGTGAGGCTCAGTAACATCTTTAATTTTTTTTCCCCTGAAAAATATTCTAACCTTGGTAAGATATTATTCACTTGTACAGCTGGAAAGCGTGAGGACACTTCCCTCCAGAGGCAGGAGATTGCATTCACCAGCGCATGTGGAAACTTAACGTTTTTTGCCCTTTCTGCTTCCTATCATCCTGCTGCAGCAACGGCAGCCTAGTGCTTGGCCAGGGTCAACGGCCCTGCTGGCAGCTCGCCTGCAAAAGCAGCTTTAATCCCCCACGGGTTCCATCCAGGCTGGGCTGAAGTCACAGGAGAAACTGGAGGCCACCCCGAGGTCTCGGCTCCTCACCTGGGTCGAAGAGCAAGTCGCTTGTGCAGAGGTTTTTCACCAGCAGGTTGGAGCAGAGCTTGACGCCCTTCAGGTGGCCGTACCGGCGGTTGAGGTAGAGGGAGAGGATGGAGTGGAGGTCGAGCACCAGGCAGGTCCAGCGCGTGTTGGCAGGGGCTGCTCCTGCGAGATCTGGGGAGGAGAGCAGCAAGCAAGGGAAGATGGGAAAAACGCTACAGACCTTGGACTGCGGACCTTGCAGAATGGGAGACGCCAGATTAAGGCAGTTCAGTAAGAAGTATTTACCATGCACGACTCCCACCAGGCTTGGCTTGGCTGTGCCAAGGTGGGAGATGGGAGATGTAGCTCGTTACAGCAGCACAGGGGTGGGGAAGGACACCTTCCTCTGGGCACCTGTGCCCGGCCTGACACCGCATCCCACTGCTCAGGAGAGCGGGGATGGGGGGCGTCCCTCCCGGGAGCTACAGCTCTGACCTTCCAGCTCCTGCTCAGGACCACCACTCTTCACCCTCCTCAAATCAAGTCAAGTTCCGAACTCAATTTACTTCCTAACAGTTTATTTTGGTGGCGATGCCCCGGCCGCAGCACCACGCACGCTCCTCACCGCGCCTGGACGGCCTGGCCGCGCGGTCGTACGCCGAGCCCTCGGCTGCCCCGCAGACAAAGGGGAACTGCAGCCAGGTGGCTGTGGATTTGAACTCCTTAAAGAGGTTGGAGAAAGAGATGCGGACCACCTGATTCTCCTGAGAAGAGAGAGACACACAGAGCTTTAGTCACCCTGGTGGCTTCAGCAGGGAAATGCTGCAGAGAAGGCACAAGGCACTAACATTCTTCTCAGCTGGCAAATCAAATGGAAACACCCTAAATCCTGGTTGAGACTACCAAGAATTATTCTGAGATGAGTATTACTGCATAAATGTGTTAAGGCTGTGATTATCAGTGTTCAGGAAGCACCAAATAAAAAATGAGTCAATCTACCAGATAGAAATGCAAGTGCTTTAGGGCTGTGCACACAAGATGACACTTCTAACTAGACACCAGCTCCTAAAGGAGGAACTCACCAAATTAATGTGGTACATCTGTTTTATTAGCTACGACAAGTGAATGACAAACAGTTGTGGCCAAAATTTGTGAAATAAGCTTAAGTTAACAATAGGCCAAAGAAGAGGCCTTAGTTGGGCAATATACAGACAGAGGAGAGGTGCTGCTGGTACGAGGTATTGCTCTGTAATGGCTTAAATCAAACGGGAAGTTTCACAAAAATTGTAGAGTTGAGTTTGACATGCTGTGTCCCTTGTACCCAGCAGAGATGCCACGAGGATGGAAACCACCTTCAGCCTGCAGTAACCCACTAGCAGCAACAAAGACCACCTGATTTCCGCACCCCCAGGCACAGAAGAGCACTGCTGCCACCCCCCCCCCCG